CACCCTCTGATTCTTTTTTATGTCACCCCACGGCAGCAGTGACAGTCAGGAGAGAATAGGAATGTTGTCTGGGTCTCAAAAAGGAAAAACAGAAATCCGTGCTTTAGAAACAGTGAGACAAGAAAAGTCATATTTGTGAGCATTAAAAAGGAAATTCAGGAAAAGAGCAATGCTTTCAATATAGGTCAGTGGTTGGTAGTCTGATGCTGTTATTGTCTTCTTGTACATGGGCACGTTTCCTAAGTTATTGACAAGTGTTTATTATTAAAGGAATCTGGTCTGTGCTCTGTCTCAAGTAAGGCCTGACTGAAACGCTGTTGTGTGCAAATAGCCAAGTTTGAAAGGGTTTTTGTGCCAGGAGGTTCTTGGCGGCAACTTGAACTCGAATCTGGGGAATGGTAGCCAAGGTGTTGAAGTCAGAATGAGAGCAGCTGCAGCATCCTGGCTACGAGGCTCTTCAGGTAAGAGCAGTGGAAGGAGAGGAGAGTCGGATCTGAAATCAGATCCGATGAGAAATGCTGGCCCTTGTCCTGGTCAGATGCTGTAGCTTCTGAAAGCACAGCTACCTGCTCACCGTCAACGAGGACAGATCGTCATCGCTGCGATTCGGGAAGGCCGTGCAGAGCCTCCAGCCCTGCTGCTCGTCACTGTCCTCTGCAGCCGTGGTTAATGGTGCAGCCATCACCCGCAGCAAGCATAAATCCTTCCCCCACAAGAGGGTATTGGCTGGTGTGACGTTTATAGGACTATAAGAGCAGCTGGCGATGTCGGATTCAAGGCAAGTGGGTTGTCTTGGACGTCCTATGTAGCAGATGGCCAGGACTTGATAGATGGAAGATTATTAGGATCCAAGTCAAGGGCCAAATGGCACAGTGGACGGGAAAAGTAAATGGCAGCGCATCTCGGGGCACAGTCACGCGCAGTCTGACGGGGCCTCTCCGCCTCCGTTTCATTTTGCTTGAGTGAGCACAGACCCTCCTCGAGCATGGATTATAGAAGCACCAGAGATTGTTGATAACTTGGTTATTAATTTGATAGTTGGTTGAATCCTTATGGTGAGCTGTTATTTGGAAAGAAAATTTTGTGAAGCTTAGATTTCATCAGCATTTATATCAATTTGGCCTTTTACCCAAACTTGCGTGTCACGCTTCCCTGTATTGCTGATGTCTGTACGTGTTTTGGTTATGTCCAAAGACACTTAAAAGCTCTAACTCAGAGCCCTGTGTTGCACTTGTTTGCCATCCTTTCTGAAGATGACTGATGTCGTGAAAGCTGCTCCGAAATGCAAGTGCCAGAAGCTAAGTTTTGCAGGGAGAGTAGGGACTGCAGGGAAAGGGGTGTCCATTTCTTCTCGTCTGTGTGAAGCTCATTTGTGCAATTGCTGCCTTCTCGGCATTGCTGCGTAACTCCTTGATCTTAAAGTGGAAGGAAGCAAATATCAAGAGCCAGGAACACTCCTCATGTGGCTTTAGAAGGAGTAGCATATTATGAAATTGAGCAGATGTCAAATAAAAATAAATTTGGATTTTTTTTGAAATTTGAACTCAAGCAGGTATTTTAGAGCTAAACACACTGAGAAGAAGTTCAGGGTAAAATTGCTGCTGTTTGACATTGATTCAGATTTGAGTGTTTGGGTCAAGTTGTTTCCCAGTCACATCTACCCCTATGAATGTTGCATTTGTACTCAGCGTTATCTCTGAGCTCTCCACATTTCATCTCACAGCAGCATTATGAGATTGTATCCCCATTCTACAGATGAGAACATTGAAGCTCTAAGGGTTCATCTCTGACTCAGAATTCCATGTTTTCCCTCTCCCTTGGCCTCCTCTACCCTGGATGGAGACCAGAATTTGTAAACTCAGGTTTATTCTTTATTGTAGGCACATTTTAAAGCTGCCCAAATTGCTTAGCTTATGTCCATGAATTTTTTAAAGTGTCAAGTTAATTGAAATAGCGAGTGGAACGGATTATTTCAGGTAGGGTCATGCGTTACTGGAACAAATCCACTTATTAGCATGCTCTTTGGATTCTCACCCTGAGTTTTGCAACCAAGACATCAACTAGAGAATGAGTTTAGTATTATTACTAAGTTACTTTCACTAGCCAATAATCCCCATTTTTCTCTCCCTTTCTCCTCACACATTTTCTCAACCCCGGCCATATAAATTAGCAATGGTGGCCATGCAGGTGAATGGAGACTGCAGAAGCCATTCCTTTTATGGGCTTGCTTTGAATCTGGGGTCAGTCCCTTGATCTTGAATGAGACCAGGCCTACGTAATCAGACACAGAGATACTGAAGTCAGAAGTGTCCAGAAATTGAACTTGGGTTAGGTTGTCTGCTTATTTCCCTCTTGCCTGGTCTATAGATGTTATCGGTTGACATAGTAATGGAGGATTAGGAACACTTTTTTTGAGCTTTCACATTATCAAATAAGACTAAATGCATTTAGGGGTCCCCATAAATACAAAACACTCCCCCGCAGATGGGATCGAAAATCAGAGTATCTGTGAAATGTTCCCATGGGAGAGAAAGGGTAATTCAATTTTGGAGAAGATCAGGTTGACAGCACATGTTGTGTCTTGTGGCATGGAATTCCACTGAGAAGCCTTGAGGACCGACCATAAGCAAAGTGTATTGGTTAAGAAAAATATTTATATCTTAGCCTGTCTCCTGTCCTCTATCTCTACACATTCGTAGAAACTCTGACAGCTAATTTTTGCTCTGTAACAAATGATCCCAATTAGTTAAAACAACAGTTACTCAATTACTTTATGATTCCATAGGTTGGCTGGTCAGGTCTTCCTGTTGGGGCCAGCTTGACTGGTCTCTGCAGACTGCAGTTTCTTCTGAGACTGGGGGGGTCTCGAATGGACTAGTGGGTCTAGAACAGCCTCAGCTGAGACTGCCTGTGTCTGCTCCATGTGGTCTCTCATCCTCCAGTTGGCTAACCTGGGATTGTTCACCTGGCGGTCTCAGGATTTCAAAGAATAACAAGAGAGTATAAACTCCTGAACTTAGGTTCTATATAAACCTCTTCCTGCCTCAGGTTGGCTAACCTCACATTGGCCAAAACAAGTCACGTGGTCAAACCCAGTTTCAAAGAGTGGAGAGTTACTATGTAGGACCAAATCCCACATTATGTAAACATAACACCATACATAATGACACCTGAGACTGAATATAGTTACCACTCAAAATTCCAGGCATTAATATATAATCACTGTTAACTCATAGAGCATCTAACCTGGTTGCTCCACCCCAACTTCCACACTGTTATCTTGAACACGTCTGTTGGAGGTGCGGGGATTATTCTCAGCGTTATGGGATGTTTAGCAGCAGCCCTGCCTCTACCCACCTGATGCTAATAGCCCCTCCTCTTCCACCCCTACTTGTGACAGCCAGCAATGTCTGTGGACATGGCCAAATGTCCCCTGTAGGGATGGGGAGTGGGAGATAGGTAAAATTGCCTCCAGTTGAGAAACACTACTCTAACCTGGAGACACTGAAGCAGAAGAGAAAAAGAAATGTGTGAGGTATAGGTTATTGTCGAAGAGCAAACTGGGAACAGCAGCCCAACAGGGAGACTGTAAGTGGGGAAGGAGAGTAGACATTTTTCAGTTACTTTAAAATTTAACCTAAAATGGCCCTCGAGTCCTCTGGATAACTAGGAAACATCAAGTTGCATCTTGCTACACATTGAAAGGTTCATCAATATCTCAACTTCATTATAATTAAAAATAAATACCATCCCTAAAAAAAAAAATTCAGGCGCTATGCTGATCACAGATGATGGATTTTGGGAAAAAAACACACAACTCTTTATTTGGGAAAAGTTAAATATACATAAAAGTAGAGAAAATTGTAACATGATCCATCAAATACTCATCACCCAAGGTCATAAATGACTGATGAGTAGCCAGTCTTGTTACATCTATATCCTGCTCGCCTCCCCTGCTATCTCTCTGCATTATTTTGAAGCAAATTCCAGTCATTTCATTTCACTTGTAAATATTTCAATATGCATCTAAAAGAAATTACCTAAAAACCAAAATTATAATATGCTGGTGGAGTTTTAATCTTCTGGAAAGGGCAAGAGGGAGAATTTATCTGATGAGTAGTATCAGAAAGTTAAGGGAAAGAATCAGTAAGGACCAGAATCAAAGCAGCTCGACTTAAAGGGGATTAAAAACCCCAGGGGGCCTGGCTGGTGTGGCTCAGTGGTTGAGCATTGCCACATGAACCAGGAGGTCACCGTTCAATTCCCAGTCAGGGCACAATTCCCAGGGTTGTGGGCTCTATCCCCAGTAGGGGGCGTGCAGGAGGCACCCAGCCGATGATTCTCTCTTATTATTGATGTTTCTATCTCTTCTTCTCCCTTCCTCTTTCTGATATGAATAAAAACATATATAAAAAACACACAGAAGGAAATGAAGGTGGGAGAGACTTGTCTCTTCAAACTCCTCTCTCCTCTCCCTTCTCCCCTCTCCTGCTTTGATCCCCTTAGAGATGCCCTTTGGAGTATGTGATAAGACACAAGACACCAGGGCCTTAGAAGGAGAGTAGGCTGGCAGGGAACAGATCATTTTCTAAAAAGAAGGGAAATAAACACAATCACAATAAGGTATTGAAATATTCAGTCAATGATGGATTGCTCTCTGACGACTTTCAACGACTTTAGCCGATCAGTGTCTGTCTACTTTTAATAAAACAAAGCAAGGGGAGAAAGCCTTGCCATTGCTTTTTAAAATTTTGCTAGGACTATGTATTTCTCTCCTGTTCTCATGTATTCTGAGAAGTTTCTTTCTTTTGATTTAGACTTCCTCACTTGATTTTATTATGCCATAAATCTATGTTTGGAGAGAGCCATGGTGTATGTGAGACCTAAGCAGCTTGCTAGATAACATCTGTTTTTCCCTCCTTCTCTTTAGAAGATTAAACTGAGACTGTTGTGTCTGATGCCAGAATAGATTTAACCAATCATGTTTCTTTTACATGTAGGTCAGTCCAAGGGACAATTCTGCACTGGATCCTATTATCCATGGGTTGAAGGGCGTCGTACATCATGGTAAGTAAGCCGCGCACACTTCCTTTGGCTGGGAGGTGAAGGGCTAAGATCTCTACCTAAAGAAATGGGGTTATCTTGCCGAGGACAGAGGGTGACACTCATTCCTCATCCCTTGATGTTGAAGGGCATTAGAGCCATTATTTGATGGGTAAAGAGCACGCCCATTTATTACCTACAAATGGATCTGGGTTAACAGTAAGCAATTTATTTCTTTTCAGGTACCACTTTGAATGCCTATGTCATAAATCAAAGTGCCCTAAGATGTATCTACCGTTCATATGCGTTGAACCTGCCACTTGTCTCATATCTCTTTAAAAATATTCTCCTTTCAAGTATCTTTTAATTTATAAATTTCTTGATTTGCCTCTCAGATTGAGGGTAAAAATTTAAGTAGCCGTGACAAGTCATTAAACTTTGCCACATGTGAGCAGTGAACAGCACTACCAGCTCCTTGAATGCAGAAAGCCCGGCTGTCGTTCTGTGCGGCAGAAGTCTTGTCCTCAGGCATAAAACTGGGAGAGAAAGTAAGATAAATGGGTTCTGTCTTTCCCAACTGGTTTTTATTGGAGAGATTTTCCTGCAACTTTATTATTGGCAATACATCATTACCTATGACATCAGGATCCTCTAATTTCAAAAGTACCCTTGTCGCAGGGAGGGGCGGAGTCTAGATGTAATGTAATGATTTTCAAAGGTTTAATAATCTAATTAGAATTTCAAAGACATTGACAGAAATGGCATTAGTAATCATAATAAATCTCCCCTTCATCTCCAAGCTGTGATTAAATGTCTTCGCACCTTCTGGGAGGATTGTCTTTAGACATTAGCCAACTCTGCAGAACTTAACATCCCCCC